TCAATTAGGTTTTCATTTCCTTAATATTTTTGTTTTTGACTTCTAATCTTAAAGACTAGATTAAAACTTAGCTCAATTCCCAGAAGGCATTGTTTCCCTTTGCTCTATGAAAGAGTCCACCAAGACCTCTTCCTCCTTTTCCCTTTTCTTATCTGTATTTCCTTTTTAAAAAACATAAAGAAATATTTATCACTTTAGAAATGAGAAGAAAACTCAGTGTGTTTGAATATGCAGGCTCCAGGGATCTGCAGCTTCAGGACATTCCCATGAGGTGGGTAAGGATGAGAGTGGAAAGAGTGTCTCAGGCACTGAGTTCCTACCCATGCCCTGCACCAAGCAAGGACTACACTTAACAAAACACAGAATTCCTCACCAGGAGGTAGGAACAGCTTCCAGGCCTTAGACTGAAGCAGGCAGGTGTGGAATAGCCAATTCTGGGGTGGCACTTGCATCACAGGATCCTTACCAGGGGCCAGCAGCTGGTCCTTGGCTGGGACTGGCTCAGGTGGCTGGGCAGGTGGGGTCTTGCCCTGATGGGAGCTAGTCTTCTGGGAGGTTTATGCAATTGGAAGCACACCAGAGAGGCACACTTTCAGGAAAGCTATAATTACCAGCTGACTAATAAACAATAATGAGAATATTTACATGAGACTCCTGTTACTCTTACAAAGGGGCTTCCTCTAGCAGCCCTGTGTGGGCTCTCTAAGGTTTACAGAAAATTCTGGGGGCTGGTACCTTCACTAGGTACTCCCCTAGCCTGCCTCACTGCATCTGTGTCTGTGTACCCTGCAGCTCCTAACATAGCCTCTCTTTGCAGGATAGAACTGTTGCTTAGCCGGTATCTGCAGTTACTTTAGCTGGAGTCTTCTCCCTGTGAAATATCTCCTTGACAAAAGCAAACTACAACTTGTATGCATCTTGGCATTTCTTTAGTGGTATTCCCCTCCTAAAGTTTTTCCATAGGATAGATCCTGACAATCAGTTCTTGTCCCTTCTGCCGCACTGGCTGTTGAAGTTTGTCAGCTTTGGGGGGTGGGCAGAGTGGTGCTCTGTGTGAAGCCCGGTCATCCACACTCTCTCCACATCCAACTCCCTATTGAAGATGTTGTGCAGCAGAGGTGTCCAGGCTTTGTTTTGCTCCTTGCTGTCTTTGCACAGCAGAACTGCTGAGAGTCTGGGCATTCTGTAGAGCTCCGCAGCTTTGGTGCAGTACCGGACTCCAAACGGGAGTGATCATATCCTGAGCGCTCAGCTGTGCAGAGTACATCCAAGTGCCTCCCGTAAACTCGCTGTGTGCTGTAGCCCTCACCTTCCTTCCAGGCGAGGATAAGTGGGTCCCGGCTCACTGTTAGAAAGCAGAGGCCCAGTGATGGCACCTGTGTTGCTGCACCAGTGTCAAGTGTGGAACTTAGGCTTCAAGCAGGCCTAGTTAGCACCCTGTGCTGTGCCACTGACTGCTCTTTTCTTCTTGATCTGTGTTCCCAGCCATTCTGCTGGACACCTTTTCCCAGGTACATGGCTGACACCGGCTCTCCTGGTCAGCTCCTTCCCACCTTGCCTCTGGTACTCTGCATGGCTTACAAGTTACCAGCACCTGAAAGTTCATCCCTTGTTGGTGTTTATCTTCTCTCCTTCTGTCATCACCCCGACCACAGTTGACGCTAGTTCTGCTCCATATGCTTTGTCATGTCTCATGTCTGAGCTTCCCTTCACTTCGTGAACCGTCAGTAGTCACTCTGTCCATCCATTTTCTTATCTGGCTCACAGAGCACAGGGGCCTAAGCTTCTGCCTGTAACACTGATGACTTCGGGCCACCTAGAAAGAAACCCCTCCCAGCCTGTGGCCTGGCATGGGCTCTGCAGTTCCCCCTTTCCCATGGTTCTGTCTGGAGCATGCCCTTCCATTTCCAGCAGCCAGTAGACATTAGTGTCTTGAAGCTTCCATCCCCTGGTTATTAGTTATTGGCTGCTGTTTCCTCTGATACCTGCCCCCTTCTCTCTCTATCTATCTATCTATCTATCTATCTATCTATCTATCTATCTATCTATCTATCTATCTATCTGTCTCTCTCTGGATTTTTTGAGACAGGGTTTCTCTGGGTAGCCCTGTCTGTCCTGGAACTCACTCTGTAGACCAGGCTGGCCTTGAACTTGGAGATGCATCTGCCTCTGCTTCCCAAGTGCTGGGATTAAAGGTGTGCACCACCACTGACTGGCTTCCTCTGATCTCTTAACACAGTAACTTCTACATCACACAAACCCTTGCACCTGTTGGGGAAGTAAGCAGGAGGTGGACACATGGGAGGAAAAACAATGTGAGTCCTGGAGACTGAGTCCATAGTGAGTAATGAGTGGTGAGCCCAGGGCTTAGCTCCAGGTAGGTACTTGGTGGCACTGGCTATTGAGACCCTGTTCAAGTTGGTCCTTCTGTCCAGATGTGTGTGGAGTCCAAGCAGACTCTAGAACCAGAGTACCAAGTATTTGTGTATTACCAGCATGAAATAACATGTTAGATACCCAAGGGCCATGGCTCTTCAGAATAGTCATTTAGGTTAAAATAATAATAATAATAATAATGCAAAACAGACCCCAGTGAATGTCAAGCACCACATTTTGGCATGGGAGAGGTGAGCTGTGGGATATGGCACTCACCAATGGACTCTCCCAAAGTCAGTGCTCTTCCCAGAAATCATAGTCAGTGAGCCAAACTACTACTGTGATATTCCCAGGGGGGAAAGAATAGATCAACACAAACAGTATTAACAAATGAAAGTAAGAAATTAACCATGGGGTCAGTGTGACCTAGTAGCAATTTGTTGTATGATACTTTCTTTGTATTCTGACAAAGCTAGCCTGTATATCAGAGGGCAGAGCTAGCCACTAGTTAACCATAGAGGCCAGGCAGTGGTGTCACACACCTTTAATACCTAGTTGGGAGGAGGAAGCAGGAGTTCAAGGCCACCCTGGGCTACAAGAGATTGAACCAATCTAAAAGAGAAACAGAGCCAGGTGGTGGTGGCTCACACCTTTAATCCCAGCACTCAGGAGGTGGAGACAGGAATATAAATAAGGCAGGTGGAGACAGGATCTTGGCCCATTCAGTTTGAGGATTGGTAGAGACAGGATCCCCCATTTGGTCTGAGGATTCGTAGAGGTAAGAAGTTTCTGGTGGCTGGTTGCTCTGCTTCTCTGATCTTTTTGCTTTGTCTTCCTAAGTGCTAGGATTAAAGGTGTGTACCACCACTGCCTGGCCTCTATGGTTAACTAGTTGCTAACTCTGCCCCCTGATATCCAGGCAAGCTTTATTTGTCAGAATACAAACAAAATATCATACAACAGCAATTCCTTGGGAAAATTCTTTGTATTGATGTGATTTGGAACACAGGGCCTGGGGGGAGGGGAGGCTTTGTCGTGATTGCCTCCACTACAGAATGACAGCTGACACTGATGCCTTCCCTCTTCTCTTAGGGGGCAGTGCCCAAAGGAAATGCCACTAAAGAGTTCATCGAGAGCCTTCAACTGAAGCCTGGGCAGGTGGTGTACAAGTGCCCCAAGTGCTGCAGCATCAAGCCCGATCGGGCCCACCACTGCAGGTACCGTGCGTGCTCTCTCCTCAGCGCCCGGCCATCACCGGGACTTCTGAGGGTCCCACACAGGCAAGGAGTGACCACTCGGTGGAAAAGGCATTGGACTGGGGGAGGGACGCCTGATGCAGCCTCTGTTTCAGTGTATGTAAGGTGGAGGGACTCCTGATTTCCTGATAATCTCACGGCTTGGGCAAACCTGTGAGCGTACAGTACTTGAGACAAAGGCATCTCTCGGACTTTCCTTGAAGCAACACTTGCAGAGCTTGTGACAAGAACGGCTCTCAAACAGACGTCTCTTTTCCCTCTGAGCTGTTACAGGTATTCTGATCGTATCAAGGTTCTTTGAGTCTCCTTATGAGAAGGTATCTTGTTCAAAATTGCATTTTTTCATTACAGGGATCTATAAATGGCAAATTACAGAGACCTCCAATGTCACAACAGCAAACATGCCGTATGTTTGGAGGAGTGAGCTTTGCTAGCCTGAGACACTGCAGGTAGAGAGACTGTGCATGAACAAGAGATCACTGCGTGGCTGAAAGGTCTTTTCTGTGCAGCCTTATGAAACGCTCTGTCTCTATCATCCAGATGTTAGTCAGCTCCCCAGTCCCTGCTCTGTCCCAGGAACCGCAGTCTACCCTCTCTCCTCACCACCAATCTTATTTCCATCTTCATGGCCACCACTGGATGCCCCAGATGGGGAAGCTAGCCTCATATCAAGTGACTGTTTGAAGGTCAAGTGGATACTTGAGACAGGTCTGGATCCTGCCTGTTCTGCCTCTCAGTCCTTGTGGGGCTCTGACTTTACCTAGAACTCCAACTTGAAAGTGATTCACACAATGGCAGCTGTTTAAGTGTTTGATTGAGAAACATTGCTTTTACTGAGGACTTCTGTCTTGGGTTAACTTGCCTTTGAGGTCTGTTGAAGTTTGCTCCTTGTGCTTGAGGTGGCATTTATTACCCTTCTGCCACCCTGGAGGCCTGACCTAAGTTCAGTGCAATTCTCAAGCCAAGTCTTCGTCTCTGTGGGGCACACTTTTCTCCTCTGTAAACAGGGGTGGTTCCTTCCTCATTGTGAGGATTTAATGTAAATAGCTGTGAGTGGCCAGCAATAAGTGAAAGCTAGTGATGGAACCATGTGTAGGGGTTAGAGATATGCACAGTTTGTAAAGGCTGGGCCAGAAACCAGAGGATTAACTTTGTTAGGAAACAGCTTTCATGCCACCGCAGTGGTTCCTTTCTTCGCTATGGCCCAGCACCTGGTGTTTTCTTTAATACAGCTACCACACCTCTTCACCTCCCCCGCAAAGTGATCCAAAGTGAGCATCCAAGTGCTAGTTAACAGTTCGTACAAAGCAAGAGCTGCTGGTTCAGAGTAACCTAGTGAGGGTGCTGAATTGCCTGTGTCTGCCCCCAAAAATGTGTGCTGCCAGCTGCTGTTTTGTGATGGTGCATGGTGGCCCAGGCTGTCACAGAACCCTGGTTAGGATAAGCAGGGTTCCTAAAACATGATACAGATTGGTTTTTTGATGGTCTGTTTGCCCAGAGGTTGTTACCTGGTCCTGGTTAGAGAGAGATGTGTGTATGTTGTCCTCGGGTAGAGGTCCACACATGGACCTATTTCTGGAGTCTGTAGAGGTTGATATTGTCTCCATTCCCAGAACTCTGGTGGGGATTGTAGCCACACATAAACCTTCCATCTAGAGCAGTAGTTCTCAACCTTCCTAATGCTGCAACCCTCTAATACAGTTTCCTCATGTCATGGTGACACCCAACCATAAAATTATTTTCATTGCTATTTCATAACTGTAATTTTGCTAATTATGAATCTTAATGCAAATGTCTGATATGCAGGATATCTGACATGCAACCCCTGTGAAAAGGTCGTTTGACACCCCCTCCAAGGGGTAGCAACCCACAGGTTGAGGATCACCGATCTAGAGTATGCCTTCTAGCCCTGCATCTGTAGACGGGCCTTTCCTTCCAGGAGAAGCCCTGTAACCCCAGGCTGCTTTCATTCTGTTAGAGTCCTCCCATTTGTAAGGACCAGGGAAGGCTGTAGAAACCTGTATGGGTTTATGTTAATATAGAGCCAAGGCCTTGGGCTTACGTGATAGGTTCCCAGGGGAAGCAAAGCCTAGCCTTGGTTAGGCCTCACACCCTGTACTCCCTATACCACCCTCCAACATACACATTGAGGCTGAGCCCTCATCAGCTTCCTAGAACCCTGACAGACTCCTCTTGCTTAGTCTTCCAGCCCTCACTGTCACCAAACACATCTTCATGTGACCTGGTGTTCACCTGAGGGGCGGACGAGGGCCCAGATTTATTTGGAGGGCCTGTTTCTTCACCTCACACAAAATGGAGATTGGTCCTCAGATCTCTGTTCTGTTCTTAACTTGGCTGCACTGTCTCTTCAGAACTGTTTTAGGCTAGAGTGTAAGATGGTATTAGTTTGCCTACAATTTTGTCAGTCAGTGAGGTATATGATGAAGACCTGTATATGAAACCTTGGCTCTCTAGGCCTTTTACCCTACTCCATTGTGTTTCCACCCATTTTCTAGATCTGCTTATCTTGTCTGAGCTGTAGCCCTCATGCTCAGACCCAGCCAGGCTAAGCCTTGGGCTCAACTCTAGCTTATAGTGGTGGGCTAGAAACAGCCCTCAGCCCAGAGTCTCTCCACCCAGGCAGGGTGGGATACTTAAGACTGTGATAAGTGCAAGGAGAGAAATAGTTCCTGTGAGACATGGTTATGTCTCTAATGTTGGTCCAGAACCCAGGATAGGTAAGAGAGCTTGTTTATGTGAGCTGCTTAAAGGATACACACCAAAGATGGGTCCTTATGCCTCCTGGAAATGGAACACAACCCAAGAGCAGATGTGTTAATGAATATAAGCCAAAGAACTTGTAAATGTCTCTAAGGTTTGAGTGCTAAAAAGTGGCAAGGAAGTGGTAGGAGGGGAAAGAGAAGCATTGGTTTAAACAGAGGAATAAAAGAGAGGAGTGAGGGGGTCTAGGAATCACAGCACCAGGAAATACCTCCATGTAGGCATTTGGTGGAGTCAGTGACTTGGCTGTTGCCTTATCTCAGTCTCTTCAGCCCTGCCTTCCCTATGTGACACGTTCTGGCCCAAGGAGAAGAGAGGCGCTGCTTTGGCATTTCATCCCCCTGGGAACAGGGAACCGTCTGGACCCACCCACTTGTGCAGCCCTCGAGGACTGCAGTCACTTCCCCTGCCCTCTCAAGCGTGTGCTTGTCTAATCTGGTTGCCAGCACACCTGAGCCCCTTGTGAAACCCAGCCCAGCTCTTCCACTCCAGTGTGAAGGACAGTTTGCTTTGAGAACTTGTTTAAAACCTCCGTAGCCTGCAGAGCCAGAGGCCACTTGGTGTCTCTCTAGTGGAGCCCTCACTGACTCAGGCATGCACTTGAACGCCTCCCTAGACGTCAGTAAGGTGGAAAAGGACCTGCTCTGGAGCCTAGACAAGGAGTGGATACTCTCAGGAGTTTGTTCCTCAGATGAAAAGAGCATTAAGGACCCTAGAGCTCTGCCCACCTCAGCTTCCCAACATGGCGGTGGTACGTTTACCGTCAGCTCTGGGAGCCATCGTGGGTCTATGCTTTTATCAAAGCAGCCTGTAGCCCAGAAACCTTTTTTTTTTTTTAATACCAGCAAAGGCTAAACCCATGACACAGCAGCATAGTGTGCTACTTGGAGACACTCCTGTGTAGCATAGCGTAGGTCAAGCCCGCACTCACACCACCAACCCAAGAGAGACAACTAGTAAGCTGTTTTTAGCTCCATTTCAGAATCATCTTTCTCAGGTTTTAGGTGGAAATGGTGCCATTGGGCACCATTTGTAGCTGGAGAGTTTTCTCTCTGGGTCCCACCAAGCCCCGGCAGTCCGACAGCCCACTTATAAAATAAACACACAGACACTTATATTATTTAAACTGTTTGGCCTAATGGCTCAGACTTCTTGTTAACTGTTCTTATATCTTAAATTAACCCATTTCTATAAATCTATACCTTGCCACATGGCTCGTGGCTTACCAGCGTCTTCACATGCTGCTTGTCATGGCGGCAGCTGGTAGTGTCTCCCTCTGCCTTCCTGATCTCTCAATTTTCCTCTCTGTTAGTCCTGCCTATACTTCCTGCCTGGCTACTGGCCAATCAGTGTTTTATTTATTGACGAGTTGTCAGGGACAAGGACAGAATCTCTAGTTAGTGGAAAAATACAGACCCCTGATAAGACAGGGAACTAGATCAGCGTACAGTCAGGTTGCCTAGCAACAGGACATTGAGTCAGAGCCCTTGACCCTCTCACCCTGTAAACATCCTGTTAGCTTGCCCCACCTTATGCAGATGGCAGCTTCTTGCTCCCCCCACCCTGCGGAACTATATAAACCTTTGTGGAAGAGAAATAAAGTGGCACCTTGATCAGAATCTAGACTTGGTGTGTTTTCCTTTGTATCTCCTGTCCCTACATTCCCTCCTTAGGGTGGTCGAGAACCCGTTGTAGCCCTGCAGGCGGGGCAACGAATCAGAGCAACACATTTGACATACAGACCATCCCACAGCAGGCGGGGGTGCAAAAAGTGTTAATCGATGTATTATGTACATAATTCACATGTGTTTTCATGTGTATTTTTAGAACTGGTAACAGAAGAGGCAGAGCAGACAGACAAGTGGTAGAGTTGCTGGTCCTGACTGTTTTCCTTCTGCATCTGTGTAGAACTTCCTTTTCTTGCTTTGCCTTCCTGCTCCTGGAGATCATGGAACCAGGCTAGCATTTCTGAGCATTGCTTGTTGGCAGCATGCCTTGGAGTGATGGGGAAGAACAAGAGCAGCATAGAGCAGTATGAAACCTCTGCTCATCTGAGGCAAACTGATAGGAACCCACCAGGGTGACTAAGGTAGCCCAGCAGACCCAAGTCTGCCAAGCTACTATAGTAACTACAGCTTGAAAAAGTACACTCCATCTCTGCTAGTGCTTTGTAGAGCTTCTAGAACTACCCACCCTCCCAGCCCCATGTCCTGTCCTAGAGTAACATTTTCTAGACTCCTCTTACTTGGCCTCCTCAGGAAACCCAACTAAGTTTCATGAGGCTTCAGACAGCCTCTTGCCTGAGCCAGTTCTAGCCTGTTAATGTGTGCAGATGCCTTGGAAGCTTCTGACCCCTTGTGGGGAATGACTTGACCCTGGAGGTCCTGACTCTGCCTTCCAGACTTCTTACAGCACAAGCCCAGTGCAATTATTGCTGCTGCGCAGAGGTGTGGAGCTGGAGCCACAGCTCCGATGTTCTCCTCTGGGTCACCCTGGACCTGCTGGTTTGTTACTTGTGTGATGGTTGTTTTCAAACTGTGTGTGGTGATAATTCCTTCTAAAAGTCTGAATTATGGTCATTTCAGTGTTTGTAAACGGTGCATTCGCAAGATGGACCACCACTGTCCTTGGGTCAACAACTGTGTCGGCGAGAACAACCAGAAGTACTTTGTCCTGTTTACAGTAAGTCAGCTTCTGAATTCTGCCCTGCCTCCCCAAGGCAATAGAACTCTTGTTCTTTGGGAAATCTCAGCACTCTTAGCAGTTTTTGCTGCTGTTGAGAACACTGCCTGCCTATGTGGCTCTCTGCCTTCTCACTCTGGATCTCTCTGGCTCAGCAAGTGTCTTTCACTTGTGCATGTAGAAAGCTGATGTGGTTTGAGTAGCTGGAGGCAAGTGCTATGTTCTAGGTGTCACTCAAAGCATTAGTCCCACATAGCTCAAGAAGGCAGTGTTGCTGGTGACCTCAAGCTCTGAGCTGCAGGTAGGTGGAGAACAGTTGGCACTCTGACCTTCTAAGTTAAAAGTAGCAGCGGATCTTATGTGCTCCCGCACAGCCCGAGTCATGCCTTTGTTTAGGCTGTGTGTCTGTTCTGGTTCCATGTGTTCCTGGAGAATTGCTGATTACTTCCCACTCAAAACAGGACATGGGGGGGCAGGGGGGAGGGTCCTATGGGCTGGAGGAATCACAGGTACTTTTCTGGCTTCAGCCTAGCAAAGTGTTCTTATAGCACATGTTCTGAGTAGCCTGTTCAAGGAGACTGCATAGTTAGGACTTCTCCCTATAATGGCTCAGCACTGCTTTCCTGTTTCAGATGTACATAGCTCTCATTTCCTTGCACGCCCTCATCATGGTGGGATTCCACTTCCTGCATTGCTTTGAAGAAGACTGGACAAGTAAGTATTGCCAGGGTTTCTCTTTCTGCTGTAGAGGGGATATAGGACCTAAGTGGGGGTGAGGACCTCTATCCCCTTTGCAGTACTAGGCCCAGCCTTATTTAATTAGATCTTCTGAAAGCCTACAGACTGATCAGGTCATAAAAGACAAAAAGCAGCCCTTTCAGGTTAGACAGGCAACATAGTAAGTTGGACAGGCACCAGACTGAGCATGTCCCAGGAGACTACAGGTGCAGGGGAAAGAGAGCTTTGAGTCTGGGTCTGCAAGGCATTTGTTTTACTCTTTTCACTGCTGGATGTGGAACCCAGGGCTACACCAGGCAAGCTCTCTTCTCCTAAGCAACATCCCAGCTCTAAATAGGGCACTGTAATCAAGGTCATTTTACCCCAATCTCCCATAGATCTATTTTTAACTTTTTGCCTAAGGCATAGATGGTTTTTAACTTTGTGTGTGTGTGTGTGTGTGTGTGTGTGTGTGTGTGTGTGTGTGTGTGTGTGTGTGTAGGATGAGGAGGAGGAGTTGTTATTTTCAGATTGCCTGTCTTGACAATACTTTAGATTAAGATTGTAGACAATGTCTCCCTGCTTCACAAGTATTCCATTTAAATGTGCAGATGCTGAGGAAGGGAGTGTAGCTAGAAGACTGCCATAATACTGAGGGAGAAACGGGTGGTGGAAGAGCAAAAAATAATAAGCAGCCACATGCTAAGCTAGATCTTTCACACTCGGAATCTGCAAGGCAGATGTCCCAAACAATTTTCAATTCTGCTTTCCAATTCTACCATTGGTAAGTGCCCTCTTCTACATCTTCACTCTTTTGCCCTCTCTGTATCCACCACAGTTTGGGGGGTGGGGGTGGGGGGCGGGGGGCAGGGACAAGCAGGATACCATCTGCAGAATTGAATGAGTCCAATCAGTTCCTGCTCACTTGGTGAGCATTCTGAAAGTACATGTATTCTACTAGCCCTGACAATCCAAGTCAATTCTGCTGTGGCCTTGGCAACCTTGGTATAAGGTATCCAACAAGGTCATTTTATCATCACAAACCTCCTTCCTGTGTCAGGTTAATTGTGGGCAATGATTGCATAACCCAAACTGTCACAGAGGTGATTGGCTGTCTTTACTTTGTAGCGGTGCTGACAGGATGGTTAGAGCCCACTAGGAGCCAGGTAACATGCAGGGGGTATTTTTAGCATTGCTTTGTTTAGACTCTAAAAGCCCCAGGATAGGAGAATGCTCCTCATTTATATATGACAAAAGCTGAGGTCAGAGTATGAGCATAGTACCGAGACCTCTCACCTGAAAAGAGGGCCTGCAGTTCAAACCTTGGTGTCAGACCTGCTGCCTCCTGTGCACAGGGTCCTCCCAGCCAGATTCCTAGTGGAGTGGACTCCAGACACCCATTCCTAGGGCAGCAAGGCTGGGAAGGCAGTGCCCAAAGTAGAAACCTGCACATGGGTGATAGTTAATGTCATCCCTGCTTGGCTCTGGTTAAGCTGTTGAGCCCATAATAGATTTTATATAAGAGAGCTCAAGAAACTGTGCCCTCAGATGGGTGCTCTGAATTAACATTCAAAGAAGTAGGGAGTTCTACATTTCTTAGGCCTGAATCCTGCCATTCCAAATCCTAATTGGAATTCTCAAAACCTGGGACAAGAAGGGAAAGAAGTGGTGAGCCTCCCTGGCTCTGCCCTTAGTATACAGTGTAGCTGAGAGTGGTGTGACCTCTATCTTGTATGTGTGTGCACACACACACACACACACACACACCATACACCACACCACACAGTTAAAGTGAGTTATACAGGTGTTCTGTTACCACTTCTTATCCATTTACCTGTACTGAAGGGAAAGTAAGTCTCAGGACGCCTAAGCTTTGTGCCCAGAGACCTATGGCCGGGCACCATTCCAAAATGGATTGTACGGCAAAGAGAGAACAAGATACTTGCTGCCTAGAGTCTGAAGTAGGTGTAGTGGGAGAGGTAGGTGTCAGGTAAGGGGAAAAAGGGGGCACTTCCAATTCCACATGGAAGGGGTGGGAAAGCCAGGCTTGTGTGCAGTGTTAGGGCCATTATAGTTAGAGCTCATGGTCAGGCTCTTGTCCCTTACCCATGATGGTCAGACTTGAGAGCCCTACTTCTTCCTAGAACCCTTCACTACTCAGGGCCAGGCAGGTAGTCAGTCACCTTGCTTGTGATCACTTACAGCCAGCACCTCTGTCTAGCGGGTTACCAAGACCAAGTACTACCCATCTAGGCATCAAGAAAAGAGTTGACCAGTTTCAGTGGGTATGGCAGAGGCATCAGGCACACAGTGGTAGATAGATACACATTCAGGCAGAACTCCATACACATAAAAATAAATGAAAAAGAGAATTCATGTAAAGGTGTAAGTTCCAGGGAAGCCAGAGAAAAGGAAGGCATTTCATATGAGGCACTCCATGTCAACCTCCTCAACGCATACACAGTGTCGTTTCCTGTTCATTCCCACATTCCACCTACCTAGATAGTCAAGATCCCTGCAGCCCCTACAGCCGAGGAAGCAGGCCTAACCTGCACTAGCCAAACCAAGAGGCCCGCACCACATCACCAGTGCTGTTGCTGGGCTGAACATAGCACACGTATGGCCTGTTCCCTTCCCTGTTGGAACACTATCTCCCTCAGCACCTTAGAGCACTGTGTGTTTGAGTTAGACTTTGTTCAGAGGAGTCCACTGCGCAGAAACCACACTTGTAGTCACATATATCACTGCTTTACAGTGGAAGGAGGAGTGAGTGCCTGGGGCCACCCCAACCCGGAGCGGAACAGTCAAAGCTCCATCAAGAGATTGACCATCTGAGTTACATAGATGTCCCTGGCAGGAAGGGGCATTTCCATACACTGGTCATGGCATTCCTTGCCAAGTAGTCTGCTTTCAAGTCTCTAAACTACCAGGCACTCCTGGGCCTACCCTAGTCACTTACCTAGAGCCCAAAGGAAGCATAGGGAGGCTGGGAGTGGGGCGGAGGAATACCTGTGCAGGAAAGAACAGGCCAGGCAGAACTTGGGGCTTCTGAGCATGCATCCTTTGTCTGTGCTCTCTAGGGAGAGGCGAGGTCTCCTGAGGAGTCATGAGGCCTAATAGTCTTCTTCCAAGATGGCCACTGTGTGGTCTGAGGTGTACAGTAGTTTTTATTGTGTGTGGAGTTCTGCCTGGGTTCCCCACTGGGCCCAGTCTCTTGGGGACTTCTTGAGAGAGTAAGAGATAAAAAGGATAGGACCTGGAGGCCGGGTGAGAGCTTGGTGGGTGGAGCAAGGAGCCATGAAGCATCACAATTCCCCATGCCGCTTTCCTTGCAGAGTGCAGCTCTTTCTCGCCACCCACCACAGTCATCCTGCTCATCCTGCTGTGCTTTGAGGCACTGCTCTTCCTCATTTTCACATCAGTGATGTTTGGGACCCAAGTGCACTCCATCTGCACAGATGAGACGGTAAGCAGGGTGCCTACCTCCTAAGCTAGGCTTTCGGGACCCAGGTCAGGTGTCAGGCCTGAGGGCTCAGGGTTCAGGGTCATGGGAATGGCCCAGTCTGCAGCCTTACCCAGAAGCTCCTTCAGCACAGTTCCTTCTTCATTTATCCCTATCGGGCATTCTGCCAGGGTCTTGCCCTTCCCAACAAAGCTCTAGACATCAGCTTCTAGAGCTGATCTCATGATTAGATCCAGGAGACAGATATGCTTTGAGCCTCCCAGGGCAGCATATTCTGGTCCTTGCCTATCCTATCATCTTGTCCTCTCACTCACCTCGTCCTACAGCCAAGCTCCTGGCCTTCCAAAGGTATCTGGAAGCTTTAAAGTGGCTGTGATGAAACATTTTTTTTTTTTTTTTTTTTTTGGTTTTTTTTTTTTTTTTTTTTTTGTGCTTTGGGTTCTGGAAGATGATGTGGGCAGCACTTTGGTGTGAATGTGCAGAAGAATCATGGGGACCTGGGTTCAGCCTCTTACTTGTTCCTGGCCTTATGAGTGCTACCCACCTACCTCCCCAGATAGAAGCTTTCAGCTGTGGGTAGGGACCCCATGTTCTTCTGTAACCAGTATTAGATGGAGGACAGCTTCTTCCATGGCTTCAGGTGCTCCTGCTCTATGGGCCTAGAAACAGAAAGGGGACAGTGCTGTCCACTGCCAAAGTGCCATTGTGTTTCTAGGTTGTTCCGATGCTTTCGACCACTGTGTTTCATTTGTAAGAGTTCATGTCATTGCAAAAGGTTTGGTAAATGTAGTAACCTTGGCATATATTCACCCATATATCCAGTTGGTAAATGGGACCAGATGCTCCACATAAGACCTATAGGGAACCCAAATGTGATGACTGTTAGGCTCTGCCCATTTGGAGACCCCTTCCAGTTCCCCAGAGCATGTTCTGGGAGCAAAAGGTAAAATGGCAGTCTGGTCCTAGCTGTTCTTCCTTATCAAGACTGTCCCTAAAGAGAATTGTGTTGAAAAGAAGCAAAAGGCCTGTGCTTCATAAGGAGAGCATCATGCTCTTTAACTGGTGTCCTCCCAGATCCCTAGGCTGTGAAAACATGGGCTGCCCCCATCCCTTCTTGACAGAGACTCATAGCAGACAGACAGCCCCTGCTGTCTGCTGCTCTGGCATCTCAGCAGCTCTATTTGAAGTGGGGAAAGGAAACTCTTGCTACTCCCTGTTTTTTTGTTTTGTTTTCCCCCTGAGACTTACAGGGAAAGTGGCACAAGCTGTGAGAACCGCCTTGGCCTCCATGCTCCTCCCTGAGGGAGCTCTGGGAAGACCCTCCTCACCTCCTCACCGTGACTGAGGCTGCAAGCCGCTTTCCTCCTAACCTTCACTAATTCCTTCTTCCTCTTGTGGTGATTCCTCCCCTCACCAACTGCCTCTCACGGTCTCACCCTCTCCCATTGTTTCTCCCCAGCTGCCCAGTGGCTGCCTCTGGACCCTCTGGGCTGGTGAGACAGCACCAGAGCAGTCCCTTGGTCTGCTGCCTTTTTTTTCCTTCTGCAAAGTGGTCATTGTAGCTTCGGCTCTCATATCTTTCCCACACCAACAGCCACCATTGGTTGTCAGAATTTCGAGCTCCTGCACCAAAACCTTTGCGTACACAGGTGCCTGGGAGTGCTTCCTGACCCAGCAAGGACTCAGGTCTGGCATGGAAACCCTTTGACTAGACAGTATCGGTCTTGTTGGCAGCAGTGGCCCAGGTGCCTGCTGAGAACTCATTGCCCCTTCCTCTTTGGAGGCTTGTAAATGTGTGATGCTTCTTAGGAGAGACAGAAGAAAACTGCATCATGTAGGTAGCTTTGCTGCTTTGAAAAAGAAGTGTTCACTCTTGGTCATCGGAGGCATGTGGACATCCCTCCCAAAACTACAGCAGTGGAGTGATTGACTGAAAGTGTGATTGTTCTTGTTTTCAGGGAATAGAACAATTGAAAAAGGAAGAGAGAAGATGGGCTAAAAAAACAAAGTGGATGAACATGAAAGCTGTTTTTGGCCACCCTTTCTCTCTAGGCTGGGCCAGCCCCTTTGCCACACCAGACCAAGGGAAGGCAGACCCGTACCAGTATGTGGTCTGAAGGACCCCTGACCAGCATTGCCACTCAGACCACATCATGGCACCGTCCCATCCGCTCTCATGAATGTTTAGGCCAAAAGCAAAACAAAGTGACTATTAAAACTTTTTTTATGTCTCCAGAAAAATGGCTGAGCATTGCAGAGAAAAAAAAAGTCCCCATGTTTTATTTTTTAAAAAAAATCATCTTTTCAATTTTTGGATGAGTGAAGCTGCTCTTTTTCCTTTTAAAATCACTTCTCTGGCCTCTGTTTCCTCTCTGCTGTCTGTCAGCATGACTAACGTCGAGGGTGCTGCCCAGGCCCTGCCCCTTCTACTAATTGAATGCTCCCCGATGCTGTGCGTGGATGAACTGGCCCAGTAGGAAAGCCGAGGGCCCTGACCTCCTCCTGCCCACAAGGCTGCACTGGCACCCACAAGACTCAGAACCTCGTGGAAGATGATGCTTACCCCTTGAGGCCTAAGCATGGCAAGATTGGGGCTGGAGCCTTCAGAAGGGCTCTGGGTGCAGTGGCTTCCTGCCCAAGTGAACATAGTTTGCCTCATTCTCAAAAGTAATTGCCAGCCTTGTACTTGATGGGCATGAATGTACAAAATGATTTGGGTGAGGTTGGAGAGGTAAGGGAGTCTTTGTATTCTGAATCAGCAATTATGTCCCTCTGGCTTTTTGGAAGACCATGAAAGAGATGTTTGCCAGTTCAAAAATGCCTTATCCAATCACAAGAGGAAAATCACAATTTCAGGAGAACTACATTTCCCTGTGTTACAACTACTTCCTACCCCAGTTCCTGCCCTTTCCCAGCAAAATGTCAATCAAGCTATGTTCATTCTGAGAGAAACAGACAAGCCAGCTATCAGGATCATCTCATTTTTAAGTCTGTCATGAGCATATATTTTCTGGAGTTTAAAGCCCTCCAAATGTGCACAGTCCTGTATCTTACCTATGTTTAGCCTGGGAGGTGGTTTGTAGATGTTAGGCAACATTCTTAGAGTTGCCAGGTAGCCTCCCACTCACCTGCTCCTCAGCCCACCACACAGACTAGCTTTCCCATCAGGAGGTACTTTCTGGCAGAGTGTCACAGGAAAGAGCTGGTCCCGAGCTGGGGAAAGACCAGGGGATGCAAGAGATGCTGAAAAAAGACTACTCTTGAACACTGCATCCCATGTAGACCTTGAGCACCTTGAAGTCCTCCACACCAGTGGTTTTTAAAGCAGTCACCACAAAACTCCCTTTTTAGCTTTTGCTTGGGGTGGGGGTGGGGATAAGGTTTTTCACTCTAGTCCTGGGTAGGAAGAAAGTTAATGTAGCCCTGTGATTTTTCAGAAGTCAGTGGGACATGCTGCCTCTTCTCAACTCTGTCAGTGCTTCCACATGGAAACAATGCAATAAACCTTTTCCAAACCTCTGTTTCTGCTCCGGTTTCTCCTCAAGGCCTGTGCAGAAGGGTAGGTGGTGTCAGGCTGCAGGGTGAGGGAGTTTGGTTTTGTTACTGATGGTCTTCCTGCAGTCAGAATGCTGTGTATGGATCCAGGAGGTTGATCTCTGGAGTCTAGGCCAGAGCCTGCCCAGCAGAGAACAAAGCTAAGCCAACAAAGTGGCTAGAGTCCCTACCCACAGTTCTAGAGTGCTGCTGTGGAGGTTCTTGCTGATGGTATCAAATGATGAGACAACCCTGGAGTGTTTAACTGAGCACCTGGCCACCTTCCCTACCTCTGCTGGCTTTGCCTCTACTGTGCTGCTTAGGTGGAGATCCTGGTGGGTGGATGTGTGTGGGTGTGTGTGTAATTTTACACATAATTTTATATATTTACATGTATAGGCTTTTTTAGATCAAGTTCATAGCATTTGTTCTCCAGGTACCTTTTAAGTTTTATTTATAGTTCTCTAGGTGTATATGAAAGAGGTGTGGCCTATTCCAGGTTCAGTAGGTTAGAAGAGTCTAGCCTTGCTCATACTCAGGGTGGACCCGCTGGGCAGCAGGCAAGCAACGCTGCAGCCATGATTTCTGTTGTTGCCATTGTCAGTCTGTCTCTCTCTGTATTTCTCTCTCTGTCTTTCTCTCTCTCTCTCTCTCTCTCTCTCTCTCTCTCTCTCTCTCTCTCTCTCTCTCTCTCTCTCTCT